CGAGCTGCAAAAGTTCAGATTTTCTAACTTCAGTGATTTGCGCATCAAGTGCGTCGAACGCTCAGATCGTTCAAATCGTTCAAATCATTCAAATCGCGCTGCTCTAATTGCGCTTGATGCGCCGCAGCCCTTCCCAACGCTGATTGAAGCGCGTCCACCATAGACTTTGTATGTAAACCTGATGCTCCTGACGCTGAAATCGCGTTTGGTGTGAACGCACCATTAGAGAAAGTTCAGGTTAAAGTCTGGTTTTCTGTGTTCTACCTTCATAAATTATTGATTTTATGTTGGTTTATTAATAAAAAAAATTAGTAAACTCATCTTCAAATGGCTGGAAAATGTAGTTTCGAATAGATCTTTTACAACATTTTCCAGGAAAATATAACCCTGGACCCCCCTAGAACTGCTTCAGTCCACAGCAGCTGGTTAACATGAATAGGTGTTCCTCATATCAGCAGATGTTGGCAGGTATGAGATACACTTCTACTATTCTGTTTCAAATTAATTATAATGGTAACAATTTTAATTGGACAACCTGGTTAATAAAGATAAGAAAACCATCAAAAACAAAACTATTTAATTTGGTATGTGAATGTATGTAAATTAGCAGTGAGATTTAGAAAACTGCACAAGAGGCACCGCCTGAAGGCTTGCCTAGGGTGCCACATTGGCTAAGACCGGCCCAGGTATGAAAGGCCTCTCAGACACGAGTCACATGACCCAGCTCTGGGATTTGTTGTCTGGCCGGTGCTTCTGGGAAACAAATGATCCTAGTTGAGATTTCAACAGCTTTTCAGGAACAGAACATAAGCTGTTTGTTAATGTAGAGCAATAAGATTGAAACAGGGCACACCACAAACAAACAGAGACCTCTTTAAATGATTCTAATATCTGTAAAACTGACTGTTGGTTGATAACATGTGGCAGCCATACTGAATTGATGTAACTAAGAATTGGTAATCAGATGTAGATGTACATCTAATGATTACTTTCTAAGTGTTTAGTAGTTCATGAAACATTTTGCAAACATTTAAGACAAACGAAGCACAGACACATTATCCTCAGTCCAGCTGCAGACCTGTCTCTGATGAAAGTGTACTGAATGTTGCTGAACGGCTCTCTGCTCGGTGTGGCCCAGCACCGCTCTAAACGCAGCCTCAGGTGAGCGGGAGTCTGAGAGAAACCAAAGAAAGTCACTCTTAACCTTTTCTCGTGAAGTGCTGATTCACAGGACACAAACAACAGGTGGACAAGTGGTTCCACCTGCAGCTGAAGTGAAGCAGCTTTCATAAGACTGCCGGGTCACGTGTGAAGTGTTACAGCTCTAATGTTACTTGGAACATCTATCCACAACACATTGCTTCACACTGGGCAACTACACAGTGGTAACATCATCCAAAAATAGCTGTCAATACTAAGAACACTTCAATGCTTTCATCAGGAAGTCTTTGAAAGGTTCAGCAAAAAAACAGAGGTGCCATCAACAGGCCTTTGTTTATTAAGTCCCCTCCAAAAGCATTGGAACAGCCAATCAGATTCCCTTCTTTGTGTTGTTCACTGAAGACCTGGGTTTAACATCAAATGACACGAGACAGGAGTTCTGAATGTCAGGCTGACTGTTCAAACATTAAATAGCCTGGGTTTAAACCTATAATAATAATAATAATAATAATAATAATAATGCAGTTTATCTGTTAGCACCTTTCAAGACACCCAAGGACACTTTCCAACATTAAAAACACAATATTAACAATAAAATGACTATAAAAACCACTAAAACAAAAAGAAATTACCATATTTATTTGTGTATAATACGATCTCATGTATAATACGACCCCCACTTTCTTGAGCTTAAAAAGCATAAAAATTTAATCCTTAAACTACCTCCAACTTCATACAGACTTCAAGATTTTTCAGCCTTTGCAGTCTTTATACATATCAGTAAAATGATCATTGGACTGTTCATTTTATTTTAACAACATATGTACTAAAAGGTATTTTGACAACAAATATATATCAGCTGTAGCAGCATCATATGAATTCTGGCATTTTACACATAGTCCACCAGGAGGCGCCTGTAAGGGTTTAGCTTACACTTCTTATAACAAGGTTATAAGAGTAATTTAATTAGCAGGGATCACTTTTTATTTTGGATAAACATTTCTTTAGTGCAAGAATCAATGGGCACAAAAAGTAACTCTGTCAGTGAATGTTGATTTGAACCATAGTATGTGATCATTTATTTTACAAATCATACAAAATTTAACTAGAGTACACCTGATTGTGAACAATTAATTTCCTATAAAAGTTTTGGGACCAACAATAACAAGCTTTTAACTTCTTAATTGTTAACCACACTTCAATAGAAACACAAACGTCAGTTTAGATGTTAAATACCAGACATTTGAGGCAAGTTATCTTAGGGTTGGCAAAGAAGAGTTTAAGAGAAAGGAGGAAGAAAGATGTTAGCTTTCTTATAAATCTTAAATAATGTGGGTTTTAACCAGAAGGGCGAAGCGTTCTGTGCTCAGCTTTGGTCAGACCTCGACGTCACACACAGCCAGCTTTTACCTTGAGATGATGTTCTGTCACCTGCCAGGTAGACGAGGGTGCTGCTGGAGAATCTGTCTTTAGACCGTCGAACAGGGGACCCCAAGGCGTGCTCCTTGACTCGTTTAGCGTCCACATCAGCCGTAACCAGAAGACAAGGCCTCGACTGGAACCCAGGTTGTAAATAAAACTTCCGTCTGGAGAGTTTCTGAAGGTGGATAAACCAGGCGTGGTTTTCCACACTGTGAGGTTTCCCCGGTGGCCTGAAGGGGCCAAACCTGACACAGTTTTCAGCTTTTGATTCCCTGGAGAGAATCTAGCTGTCACAGTGACTGACGGCCGTCAGTCACCTTACTGTTCTCCTGGACGGGTGGAAACTGTTAGTTCCTAAAAGCTAAGAGAATCTATGGTCCGCCCTCCAGAAGATTAGATTAGAAAAAGAAATTATCAAGGAAAGTGTTAGTTTCAGAGCTCGCTGTGCCTCCTGAAACTAAAACAAAGATTATTGCTGCTGCTGTGTGGTTCAGAACAACACATTTCATAACCTATTTAAATTATCCGATGAGTACTTATTTAAAACATAACTGAAAGAAAAATGAATAGCTTCAAGTTCAAAACATTTGCAAATATGATTCAGGCAAGTAAAACATTGATATTTCATCAACTTAAACCATAAAGATTATTTTAGTTAAATAAGAATTTTCCCACAGAAAAACCATACATACAGTAGCTGAAATCATACTGAGGGAGAAAAGAGATCTGTCCTCTCTTCTGTAACTTTAATAAACATTCTCTGATCATCAAAATGCGTAATACTTTCAGTTAAGAGAACAATAAATCAAATAAGAGAAGATTCTTCTGTTTTTATCTGATTTAGAAGGAAAGAGAATGTCTCTTTGAGGTTAAGGCTACCTGGGGTGGCCTAGATDCAGTTCTAAGTGGAACAGAGTTGTTGTCCCTTCAAAGGCCCATCAGAGGACTGAGAGTCCAAGACAGTTTCCTTGATAATGTAACTCGAGGTGACCCCTACACGCCAAAACAAAAGTCAGAGACTTCACATGAGATTTGGACCATCTTCTGGGGGAAAAGCAGATTACTTCCTACTCGCGAGCGCCCCCTCTGGTGGGGAAACGTTTTTTCAGGGATACAAACTTTTTCAGAACACCGGTAGACGGCAGCCATTACAGACGAACATGTGTTTGTTGTTGTTCGAGGAGCGGCCCGGTCACACGCTAATGTCATTAGTTCACTATCATTACTAAGGTGCAGGACTGCATTTTCCCCCCTTTTTTCACACCATGTCGCCTGCCTGGATCTGTTATTATCTTGCTCTGAAGCACGGAGGAGTGTCAGGGGGGAGCTCGTTTCAACTTCTTTTTACATCGTGGTCTCATTCAGGCATTTTGTGAATGAAGCCGATATATTTTGAGTTGTGCTTTGAAGATAAGAAGAGAGTCACGTTACAGATGTCAGGAGGAAGAGTGTTCCAGAGTTGGGGAGCAGAGTGAGAGAAGGCTCTGTTTTACCTATAAAGTAGGTATTTCTTGTTAAAGAGGATAAAACAACATGAAGACCAGAGAGCTGTCTACGGGAGAAAGCTGAGAAAAGGAAAATCAACCAGAGCCATTGGACAAACATTAGGCAATCACAACACTTTGGATTATCCTGAATAAGAAAGAAACTGCTGGTGTTCTGAGCAACAGACGTCCAACAGGTCAGTCAAGGAAAACAACAGGAGTTGATGACAGAAACATTGTGAGAGCTGTGAAAAAAAACCAAAACATCAGGAAGTGACATCACCAACAACCTCCACAGTGCACAAGCCATTTTGTCTGCCAAGTTACAGAGAAATTTATCCAAACTAATCTGGAGCAATTTTATCATGAAACAGGACAATGACTCAAAGCACACTGCCAACAACACAAAGGACTTCATCAGGGTTTAGATTGGACAAGTCAATCACCTGACCTGAACCCAACAGAGCATTTCTCCTCCTGAAGAGGAGACTGAAGGGAGGAAACAACAAGAACTATAAGAAGCTGCGGTAAAAGCCTGGAACAGCATGACAAATGAAGAATGCAGGTTTCCTGATGTTGATGGGTCGCAGGCTTGAGGTAGTCAGCAAGAGTTATGCCACCAAATATTAAATGTTATTTACTTTAGGATTAAAGTGCTGTGGTGTATTACAAACGGTGATATATCCTAAGTTGTTTAACACTCGTACATGTAAATACCAGGAAATAAAAGCTGACATTCAGAACTCTTGTCTCATCTATTGATCTTAAACTCAAATATCTTCAGTGTCCAACAAAACAACAGAATTTGACTTGTTGCTCCAATACTTTTGGAGGGGACTGTGTATAAAAATATATTTTTTTTCATTTTCTGTTTTTAGAGAAGACAACTAAAATACAATAATGTTCCAAATATGACAATATCTGAGTATTAACACTAATAAAGTCCAATAAATCTTTTTATTTTTATTTTTGAGTGCTAAGTTTACATTTACACTGTTGTTTTCCTGTTTATACTTCTGCAGAATTTGTGCTAAAGCAGGGGTCTGCAACCTTTACGATCAAAAGAGCCATTTGTGCTCCTTGTTTCATTAATAAAATGTGTCCGGAGCCGCAAAACAAACTGCAACTATGATTATCAACTGGTGGTCTGTGGACCTTTTCGAGGCTTTTTCAGAAAACTTTACGGTCAGTAGAAGTGTCATTATAAAACTAAAAAAATATTGTTATCATTATTATATTATTTAATATTATACACATCAGGACAAATAAAAAGACCATATTCATGTAAACAAGAAAAATACTGTATAGTTTATATCAAATTTCATTAAAACTAGTACAATTGAATTATTTAGACATATTTTTTTTCAATTATTATTATTATGTAGTCTTCAAATTATTTAAAGGTAATCCTGATGGGTTTGAGAGAAAGATCATAGAAAGAAATTGGAATATTTAAGTAAACAACAGGCTAGCATGAGCTAACATGTTTTACCTTTTGTATTAGTATTGATCACATATTTGCATACAAATTGATTTGTGTTGTGGGTATAAAACCCAAAAGAAAATATTCTGTTATGTTTGACCATATTTTCAAAACGCCACTGAAGGGGGACCAAAGAGCCACATGTGGCCCCAGAGCCGCAGGTTGCAGACCCCTGTGCTAAAGTTATCACAAATCAAAACATTCAGCTGAATCAGGTGATGAGACTTTTAGCCATTTTTTAACTTTTTAAAATATTTAACTTTATTTACAAAGTCAGTAAATTCAGAAACTTTGTTCTCCGAAAACAGTTTCAACAAACTCACTTTTTATTTATCTTCTTATGCTATTTTTAACTTTTAGCTACTGTTTTGCTAGTTATGGCTTTTAACTTCCATTTTGCTTGTATTAGCTTTTAGCTGTTTAGTTAATTATACCTACTGTATACTGTACTGCTTTGCTGGTTTGGGCTTTTAGCTACTGCCTTGGTAACTTTATCTTTTAACTGCTATTTTTGCTTGTTTTAGCTTTTGGCTGTTTTGCTTATTTTAGATTCTAGCTATTGTAGTGCTATTCTTTTACTAGTTTTACTAGTTTTAGCTCTGAGCTATGATTTTACAGACTTTAGCTTTTATTTACTATTTTGCTTGTTTTAGCTTTTGGCTGTTTTGCTTATTTTAGATCTTAGCTACAATATTTGTCCTGTTTTTCTAATTTTAGCTTTGAGTTAAAGTCTAGCAGATTTTAGCTTTTAGCTGCTTTACAAAGTTGAGCTTTCAGCTTCTGTTTTACTGACTTTAGTGTTTTGATTGATTCAGTTACCGTTCATTTTAGCTTCTGTTCTGCTTGTTTAAACGTCAACGACTCCGTTTCAGCAAACTTAATCAGCTCTTGGCATTCAGATTGTGTTTTTACAGGAAAAGTAACAAAGTTTAATTTACCATAAAAACTTTGACAAAAACATGATCATCCAGGGTCAGTGACGGAACAGAGGTCCATTTGTCCTGAAATACTCTGTCTTTATACAACAACATGGACACAGAGAAGTTCCCATCCTCGGTGTTAAGAGTGATGCTTCTGTAGGATGTAAAGGGTTAAAATCATTCGAAATCAGAACAAACTGTTAAATAAACTTAGCACAAAAAGTAAGAAATGTGTGTTTGGTAGATTATTTATTTGTAACATTGCTTAGTGGCAGTGAATCTTATACCGTTGGAAAACCTGTTAATTTCCCTTTTAAATGGTGCCACATTTCAGTTTTTTTGTTTGTTTTTCTGTTCCCAGTTTTGGCCAGAGCACTCTTGAAAATGAGATTTTTAATCTCAAGGAGTTTCCTCTCCTGGTAAAATAAAGGATTAATAATTTGTAAGGAACATGCATTTGTGGGATGAGCAGTGGAGCTGAGTATGTGGGTTGTGCACATGAAACTTTGCCAAATCTTCTCTGTCAAACAGCTTCTTTTGACTCTTGTTTTGAGCTTCTGGTATCTCCGGGTGCTGCTAATCAGGCGCCCAGCATATTTATTGCCAAGAAGCATTTTTACAACAAAGAAATAATCTACCAAACACAAATTTCCTTACAAATTGTGCTAAGTTTATAAGAATAAAAAGATGGCTGAAATCAGTCATGTACTGAGAACAAACTGTTAAATATAAAAATGAAAACAGGTACCTGACTTCCACTCGGATCAGGTTTTCGCCATGGCTTTGTTGAACCATGTAGCTGATGGGGTAGCGGCACACAAAGGTTATGTTGATGTAGTTTCTTGTAATAACATCTGAAATGTTGTTCTGTATCGTGTTAATGAACATGATGTGTGTATCATCTGTGACCTACAGAGAGAGGTCAAAGGTCAGCAGAGGGGTCTGTTCAAACAGTTTCATCATGTTTAAACTGAAGGTCAAGTCTTTCCAACACTGGGAGATCTCACAGGATCCCTTCATAATTTAAGGGCACCGATGTGGTGAAGCAGGGGTCGCCCAGTTAAAATGATGAGCCAATGGTTTATGGCCTTCCAACAAATAATCAGGATTTTCACATAAATCCTGATCATTTACAGCTACAAGGTCAGTGAGGAGGTTATTGTTGGGTCAAATAAGGTCCAGATACATAGTTGGGGGGAAAAAACCCAACAACACTGCTCTTCAATCTGAGTACAAACAGCCACTGTTTTTTTTTTTTTTTTTTTTGTCTCTTCACTCCTTACTGTCTGGATTTCACTGTTTGTGCATTTTTTTTTTGTCCATCAGATGTATTTAAAATGAGCAACACCCACTTAACCAAACAGAAATATTTAGAGGAAACCTGAATACCTGAAGAAAACCCACATGTGCACAGGGGGAACATGTAAACTACCCTTAGAAATACCCCAGGCCAGGAGGCAATACACTGACCTTCCTGCTGAGAGGTGATAGCTCCAACCACTGCAGCCCCATACACCCCTGTTCAGAGTATGGGTTGTAAATAACCCCCAGCTCCTTCTAAATCTTATTTTAGCTCAATATCTGTTAACATTTTAAATTCATCTGGCTGTGGTGAACTAACACAAAACTGAACCAACCAGTTAAACAATAAAGGGTCATTGTTGAAGTGATGTTCTGTCACATTTATCAGTAGTTAGTAACAGGTGTGACATCAGTCATAGACAAAATGCGAAAGTCTTCCTCCAGGCCAGGCTTATGCTAGCTTTAAAGTTTAGTTTGTTTTTTTTTTTAATATAGGTTTATAAAACAACTCTTCTCAAGACCACGAAAGAATGCCACATTAGCTAATATTAAAACTTTACACTAAATTTAATCCCTTCTGACCTTTAGCTGCAGTGAGAAATAGTGTCGGTATAAGTTATGAACTGAATCAGTGAGTATAAGCAGCTCTGGCAGAGTCTTAGTCTAACCCTGAAGGGGTCCAACTTACTACCAACATTGAAAACTAGAGTCTCGGAAAGTTGGTACAAGGACTGAATGGTCCATAACAATAGAACCCTAATACCATACCAACTGAGAACCCACGCAACACCCCCAGTTCAAGACTTTCTCCACATCCAGGAAACACTTTGCACATGGTTGGCTCTAAATCACACATACATGAATCAATGGTGAACCAAATTTTATGTACATCGTCAAAGAGACCTGATCAGCATGTTTGTATAGTAGTTTGACAAGATCAATTCAACCCCGCCCACTTTGCACAGGTTGGCTATAAATCACACATACATGATCCGATCTGAACCAAATTTTATGTGCATCATAAGGAAGACCTGCTCAACTTGTTTGTGTAGTAGTTTGACAAGATCACTTTAGCCCCTCTTCCATCCATCCATCAGTTCATCTTTTGAAGTTATTTAAATAATGAAGGCCTGTGATGATTCCAACAAAACTGCTAACAGTTGGTCATTCTTTAGTTAAATGAGATACAACAACACCTAATTTCCCTCTGGGATCAATAAAGTATTTTTGAATTGTATTTGAATTGAATTACTGAATGGAAACGGGGGACATCAGCGATGTTTGGAGTTGTTTTCTATCTTTTTTAAAATTATTATTTGCCAAGGCACTATTTATAAGTGTTTGTGTAAACGTGGGCGGCCAGAGTGTCTGAAACCTCCTGGAATATCTGCTGACTTCAGACGACTCCGTTCAGCTCAAGCAGTATGCGCTCGTTTCCTTCTCCTCTCTCCAGGAAGAGTTTGCAAGTTCTGCCTCAGCTCAACCAATCCACAGGTCTGCTGATGTGAACATCGTAAGCCAGCAATACTCGGTTCTACCCAGTTGGAACCACTTCTGAGGCCAAGGCTAAACCGAGAACTACATACAGGCATGCCCATGGGGAGGGGGTTTAAGTAGACCCACACCAGCTTGGCACCTCTCACCATGGGTAACTCCAGAGTGGAAAAAGGTTTAGCCCCTCTGGAGGAGATTGGTTCTGGAGCCCATGCTGTGTCAAGGAAAGTCCAACTGCAGTCATATGAAAAAGTTTGGGCACCCTTGTTAATTTTCCTGATTTACCTTTATAAATCATTGATTGTTTGGATAAAAAAAATCAGTTAAATATATCATATAGGGGACAAACACAGTGATATTTGAGAAATAAAATGAAGTTGATATGATTTACAGAAAGTGTGCAATAATTGGTTAAACAAAATTAGGCAGGTGTACAAATTTGGGCACCAAAAGAACATTTAACTCAATATTTAGTAGATCCTCCTTTCACAGAAATAACAGCCTCTAAACACTTCCTATAGCTTCTAATGAGAGTCTGGATTGTGGCTGAAAGTATTTTAGATCATTCTTCTTTACAAAACATCTCTAGTTCATTCAGGTTTGATGGTTTCTGAGCATGGACAGGTCTCTTTAAGTGACACCACAGATTTTCAATAATATTCAGGTCTGGGGACTGAGATGGTCATTCCAGAACGTTCTACTTGTTCCTCTGCATGAATGCCTTAGTAGATTCTGAGCAGTGTTTAGGGTGGTTATCTTGTTGGAAGATGCAAACTCGGCTTCAGCAGCTTCAGGTTTGTCACTGATTCCTGGACATTGGTCTCCAGAATCTGCTGATACTGGTTGGAATCCATGCGTCCCTCAACTTTAACAAGATTCCCAGTCCCTGTACTGGTCACACAGTCCCACAGCATGATGGAACCACC